TACTCGTACATGCACGTCGCTATATAAGTGCAATAATCTTGGACGCGACGTTAAACCCAATTTCACCTCACCTCACCTCACCACAATGTGAGAACCATTTCCTCCCCTCCTACGCAAAGTGAGTGAGTTTGGTTTTACGCCGCTTTTAGCAATATTCCAGCAATATCACGGCGGGGGACACCAGAAATGGGCTTCACACATTGTACCCCTGTCGGGAATCGAACCCGGGTCTTCGTCGTGACGAGCGAGCGCTTTAACCACTAGGCTACCCGACCGACGCCCCCTACGCAAAGATACGGCTTGAATGTTGCTATAAGCGATGTAAACCTTTATTCACTTGCTTGTAAAAATGAAATGAGTGAGTGAGTGAGTGAGTGAGTGAGTTGGGTTGAACGCCGATAATAGCCGTTGAGCCCGAGGTGATACAGGTCGTAGACGTTTAACACTGGTACCGCAATAATGGAACCTAGTTACATCGCAATAATTGGTGGTGTCAGACATAAAGTCGTGGACATGTAAGTTTGAATATTTGTTTGTTGTTTAACGCAGCATTCCCACCTACATGACGGCGGTCTGTATATAATCAAGTCTGGACAAGACAATCCAGTGATTGACATCATGGACATCGATCCAAGCAAGGGGTACGATGACATGCATCAACAAAGTCAGCGAGCCTGACCACCCGATCCCGTTAGTCGTCTAGATCTCTTACGACAAGCATAGTCGCCTTTAACAGGCAAGCACGGGCTGCTGTAGACCTATTCTACCCCGGATCTTCACGGGTCTCCTGTACGGCATTGAAATCGCTATTAGTGTTTCAGTGTGCGTGCTCTCGGTGCTGTAATTGATATGTGTACATGCCCATTACATGACACGTAGCACAATGACGAGTTAGGAAATTACACAAAATGTTATTATTGACGTTGCCATTCACCTTGTTGATATCGATTTCCGGGGCTTACTGAGACACGAGATTGAACAACGATTGCTGCCATGTTACTGTTACTGAGTCATTGTCATTCAACAAAATCAATAAAGATAATTCTGCTGTTGTATAATATAACTTCCGCGTAACATTATTAAGCCTTATTTCATTTAGATTAGATATTTAGCAACTAAAATCCCCTTCAATCATTAACTAGATATAGCTTTTTTTTTATAAAACGTATTGATTACGATTATTTCCTGAACGTACATTTTTCAGGAATAATAATGACGTTTGTTGAAAATAAAATATTTTTAAACGTGTTCATCTAAACGTTATTTCCAAAACATCAGTCGGAAAAGAAACAAATTGAAAATTGCACGGTATAACAAAACCCTTTTCCTATTCAATAGAAATCTCGGCTAGAAGCAGAGTCGATTGTACGATTCCTACTGTATCATGAGCATGTGTTTATGTATCACTATCACACAATGGTGAAGGTGCGCGTATCCTGCCGGTAAAATACCGGTGGCACCCGTCAAAAACACATGTAAATTCAAGTCAATTGTACACCTGAAAAAAACCCCAAAAAAATACGGGAACATGTGGTACAAGTCAAAATAGGGAATTGCATCGGACATCATTTTTGTCAGTGATACGTCACATTTACACATGTCCTTCACACGTCTACCATAAAACTGTTTAAACTGTTTCACTGAGGCCTTGAATGTTGTAACCTTGATCAAACAAGTTCTGAGCAAGAGTCGTATGACCCTCTTTGAAATCGTGGTAGAAAGAGCATGCTCGACTGCATCTCAAAAGTTGTGAAATGTCAACACTAAAGGCTGGAGCTGCATCACTTCGCGCTGTCCTCCTACATTATGGGCAGTGGGTAGTGTTGTGGTAAAGCGTTCGCTCGTCACCCCGGGTTCGAAATCCCAGATGGGTACAATGTGTGATAGTCATTTCTAGTGTCCCCGCCTTGACATTTCTGGAATATTGTTAAAAGCGGCGTAAAACCATACTCACTCACATAACAGTATCATGCACAGGAAACATAACGAGTATTTTCTTTAGAAGAGCTGTCTGTAGCATACCGGCATGGGTGACCCAGTCGTCTAAGGCGCTGCAATTCGCTGTGCAGAGTTGCGTCCCTTGGGCACGCCAGTAACCTATGATTGGAGTACGAATCCCGGTTCGCCCCGATTATGTTTTTAGGTTTGTCACAACATACCCGTGCTCGTGGGTTTCGCCGAAGTGGTAAACGCCTGAGACCTGCTTTACCTTGGGCTTTCCTCCCACATAAGCCGTGATATAACTGGAATACTGTTAAAAGCGGCGTTAAACCCAACTCACTCACTCATACTTAAACTCCTTCCTGTACCTTCACAGCTACGTGATGTTCAAGACGCCTCTACAGGCAGTGAGTGTGTAGTCTGACATAGCATTTAGACACATAACAAGATTAAGTATCGTGTTTCCATTAATAGTCGTATAAAGAGTTCTTGGCCACTTTCCCACTCTCGTTTCCTTTAAGCCGTCACTCTAAACGTCTTCGAAAGTCTCGTTATTGTGAGTGGTTTCAAAGGGCGCTTGACAATCAGTAAGCCATGACGCGACACGCTTGAAAATATTATATAATCGATAGTCTGAGCGTGTTAACAACACATACATATGCCTGTCATCTTCAGCAGAAAACACATCTCGACTTAAAGGTTCTCTGCTTAACAGAGTTTACTAACGAAGACATCACGGGCGTGTAACATCGCCTACAGTGCAGTGTATAAGATTACCTAAAAGTTCAGTCAGACAGCCGGACTGGCAACTTGGCAAAGTTAACAGAACAGATACAATGTTGCCAGTCCAGATACAATGTTGCCAGTCCAGATACAATGTTGCCAGTCCAGATACAATGTTGCCAGTCCAGAAGGTTCAAGACAAACAAACAAAACGTAACAATAGGGTAAACATAAGCACAGTACTGTTTAATGTTAGTTCTCTGGAAATGACGATAAACTGGTGGATTGTCAACGTCGTAACTTTAACTCGTTGAATTTTTATTCATCAATGATGTGTTAAACGTTGACAGTTAATTACCTCTTATAAAAACTTGATAAAATCTTAGGGAATTTAGGGAATACAATAATAGACAGACAATCGGGCGTGCAACTTTTCAAAATTAATCGCCCGTCAGCAAAATAGACCGTCTCGGACTGTCGGGCAGGCGGGTATTTTAAAAACTGCTACAGCGAATATTAACATTGACAAAACAACGGAGAATGACAGCTTCTTGAAGCTAATACTCTTAATTATATTATGTGATACTTTTTTTTAAAAAAAAACCTGCTTGTTGAATTCCCAACACTGGCACAGTAAGTAAATATAGGCGACCCATGTTGCAATAATCATAAGAAATCTCTGATGAAAGCAGAGTCGGTTGTACAAATCTCACAATATCAGGAGCATGTGTTTATGACTCACTATCAAATAGTGATGATACCAGGTGTTCCTGAGAAAGGTGAGCGGATCCTGCTCCACCGGTGTCACCGGTCACAAACACAAAGGCAAGGAAACTTCACCTAAACTATCACCGGAACATATCATACATGATACTAATATACTATTACATCATAACGCATATATATATATACACACACACACACACACACACACACACACACGATATAACGATATAACGATAACAATAATACTAACTACTAAAGTACTGTCGGAAATGCTTTACCCTTAAAATGTACTTTTACATGGAAAATGATGATCAAATTATATTCTAATTAACAACAATATTCTTGTGTTGCCATGCATGTATGAAATGGCTTATCCCGTGGTAATTACCTAACACCTGTCCCGAGGTGATGACCCCACACCGTCCCGTGCATTCTCCCAGGTACTACTTCTACTACTACTACTACTACTACTACTACTACTACTACTACCACTAATAATAATAATAATGGTAATGATAACAAAATGTATCGTCGCATCGGCATTATTTCAGCCATAAAGCGACGGGAACAACTTCATAATAATTCCACATCGATTCATCAAGACTTAAACCTGTTTGGGCCGTTACGTGTTTGGGTGGACTTTCGTAAATCGGCTTATCCTAAGGTGGTTCGACAAACGTGTAGTCCACATGAAAATTGACGACACACGAGATTGTTTAAGAATGTTTTGATTTTGTCGTAATGTTCGCTCAGGCGGAGACAAATTATGTGTGTCTGAGTCTCGTCTACATTTACTGCTAACACGATTTGAAGCAATTGCTATTTTTAGTAGCGATGATGACTCATGGCTGATGTGTCCGGCTTGTCATAGGGTCTGGGTATTCCGACTCAGGTAACAAATATGTAAACACTCGGAACTGTGTTAGACATCTACGTGAACAATATATTAGTGAGACTTACATCTGAAGAACAAACGACTATACAGATAACAAACATCAGACCATTTACACCGCTAGGATGGAGTCAACGGCTGTTTATGAGTTCCATGAAAATCAAGCTATGCGGAAGGCACGGATATGTCACAATAACACACGACTAATATGTGTTATACATTAATTATTACTGATGTTATCCAGCTCGAACAAATTCTATGACAATGCCTAATACAATATTAATGTGAAATAATCTAAATCAATATGTCTATGCAAAGGGGAACCGAACACACATCCTTGATCTAGACATAATCACGAGCGTATACTCCATGTTAAAACCTGGCGATGTACGCCCTGCTGAAACTACGCATGAACACGACATGGAGATGGATGTTCAATGGCGATGTCTGACCAGGAAGATTTGCCTGGATACAGCTAAACAACAATAGGGTACAGTCTGACTGCGCCCGGAAGGCATATTCTCCGAGGTGGTTACATCCGTGTTATAACGGGTTGACGGTATACGGCGAGCAACCGGGGCTTCGCTGTGTGCCGTCTTGTACAAACTATTTCTCAGCTCAGGGAGCGTGTGTTGTCGATATTCGAAACGATTATGACAAAATGTTAGTTTCTGTTTAAGCTGTCAACTGATTTAAAAGTCTCGACAAGTTAGCTTACCTGGGTAATCAAGTTGAGCGTACGGTCCAATGAAAGCTGCGTGCAGGTGTGACTCTTCTGCGAAATCGCTTGACAGGTTGTGGGCCGTGTGCAAAGGATTGAGCAATGTCAGTCCGTGCGGTGATGACGTAGGGTAAGGCAACGACCTCTCGGGCGGGTGGGGAAACTCGTTTCTGTTGTTTTACGACACTGGATTTCAACAACAAAAGCAACAACTACACAGCAACTAAAAATTAATATAAATACAACAACAACAACAATAATATCATCGTTTGTGTTTTACCTTATCATCATCATCATCATCATCATCGTCGTCGTCGTCAGTAGTAGTAGTAGTAGTAGTAGTATTGATGTTGTAATCTAGAAAATGTTTACATAAATGTACACTATATAACCGTATCGTTTTGTTCTAAACATAGACGTAAATATTACTATTCAAATGACAACAACCATTTATTACACACGGTTCATGCTTCACAAAATACAAGGGTCAAGGGTTACAAAAATACGAAAAGAACGTAAATCTATCTACAAAATACTATTGACTATTAAAACAGTTCAATAATAAACATTGTCAATATTATTGTGAGCATCAAATTATCGCTATCCTCACGTCTTTACTAATGGGGTTGCGTCCCTTGGGCGCGCCAGAAACCTATGACTCTGGGTTCGAATCCCGGTTCTCCCCCCGATCACGTTTCTAGGTTTGTCAGCACCATACCCGTGCTCGTGGGTTTCACCGAAGTGGTAAACGTCTGAGACTTGCATTACTTCGGGTTTTCCTCCCACATTTAGCTGACACGTCGTGATATAAATGGTATACTGTTAAAAGCGGCGTTAAACCAAACTCACTCAATCTTTCCTAACGTCAGTATCCCTATGTAAATATAGAGTCCCATGCAATGCCACGGGCAGTGCAGACGTACTTGCGGGTGTACTAGCACGATCTGAGTTGGACCTGAGTTGGACCCAGCCGAAATAGTTGGCAACCCCGATACACGAATCGAGGCTTAAGGTTTCTGAGGAATTACGCAACAATGAGCTAAAAATACCTGTATAATAATAATAGTAGTAGTAGTAGTAGTAGTAGTAGTAGTAGTAGTAGTAGTTGTAAAATGTTTATTAAAGTGTCACATGCACAACATGTACAATATAAAATCGATGTACATAAGACAAAAGGTGTATGGAGTGCGTCCAGCCAGACACTGGCTGATGAGACACTATATACAATATAAACAAAATATAATTATAATATATACATAATATATATAATGTGAGAGGTGGGAAATGTAGCTACGATTTAAAAAAAACACACAGGAAACAATAACAAACTCCGGATCATCGATTCAACAACGAAAGAAAAAGAAAGGATAGATATAGAGAGAGGTAATTTAATAATGTAGGCATGAAATACTGCATTATAATGCAGATTAGCAACGCCAGTCTGGTATAATACCATGCTCCCACACCGGCAGCTTAGCAACAGTGCCCTTAAGGCATATGTCACCTTGACCTAGCACCGACCTCCTGTGATGAGCCGACATGCCATGAGTGACAATCACACAGACAGACAGACAGACAATAGTTTATTAACGTCTCACTCCTGTACATACATAAAACAGCTTTATACAACTTGACATAGATAAAATATACAGAACCATTCAGTAGAATTATGAGAGACGAATTATCACACAGAATTTATACATAAATGATATAAAGATATATAGTAAAAAGTTATCCATATAAAAGATGTTTTCTACGATTAAGAATTAAAAAGCAGACTTTGGCAAGTATAAAACACACACTGGAGTCACTGAAAATAAAACAAAGTTTGTCGACATCAGGCATATCTAAAACATTATAAGATTTAGCAATACATTCATTAAAAAGAGTTGCCCTGATATCATCATATAATGCGCAGTGAAACAAAACATGGACCTCGTCTTCTACGCTGTCATTACAGTGAAAACATCTTCTATTATTGACAGGTACACCTTCGTATCGACCGGTTTCCACTCGAATAGGAGCCACACCACATCTAAACTTGGCTAGTGCCGATCTATAGTCTCTGGGCATCTTATTTGAAACATAGTATTCTGTCCCATATACTTGTTTGTAACATCGATACATTCTCAATTTATTAAGCCCATTTCGCCCCTCTTCCTTTCTTAACATATCGCTCCAACACATGTAGCTACGGTAATCAGCGGTAGCACTGGGCGCTGCGGACCGCCTCCGTGGTCTAGTGGTAGAGCGTCCGCCCGGAGAGCGGAAGGTACGGGGTTCGATCCCCGGCCGCGTCATACCAAAAGACGTTAAAAGATTGTACTTGTTGTTACCCTGTCTGGCGCTCGGCATTAAAAGGCTCAAACAAGGACTGGTCGACTCGGAGCCAGTATACCGTGGGCTGTGTCTGAGTGGGGTATTCATGTTAAACTGCGGCAAGGTATCTCAGTGTGCTAGCACTATAAATCGGCATCAGTCCGGACTAGTACAAGCAGTCACACAAACACGTCGCTATAAAAGTGCAATAATCTTGGACGCGACGTTAAACCCAATTTCACCTCACCTCACCGGGCGTTGCGACCCTGTTCTGATATATCACTCCCAGATAACAGCTCCCTTGTGACGTGACCCTATTATGACCCGAATGACACCGTGTCCAATTGCTTTGTGTTTTTCCAGATGAGAACGACCCCCTACCCCATTGCAAACGAATTTCACATTACTTCAGCCAGATACAAACCCAACACGACACTCAAATTGGGACTGTAGGCAGAATGGGGAGTCAACCTCTGGTTGAACCACAACAATTGCGTAACATTTTCAAAACTTGCGTCGGTACGTCTCAGCTGATAATTAGTCATCATTTAACGTGGCCGATGGGTTTCTTAGATAAATAAATTGTATAACACATTTTAAAATAAACGCAAGGATGGTGTAGCCTTTATTGTTAAAGCGTATAACACGTAAAGAAACATAACGATGGTGTAGCCTAATATTTAAAGCGTATAGCAAATTAAATAACAAACACAGTGATTTAAGAGTTCGCTGAAAAAGGCGAAGGCCAGTGTTCTATTCCCAATGTAGGTGCAATGTATGGAAGTTTCTTGGGGGAACCCGCTTGTGGTAGTGACAGACTTTTGAGAAACGCCCAAAAATGCACAACAGTTGGTGATAGATGTAATATATTGTGTTCCAGAATATTTCCAGAGAACTAATAACAAAATACCACACGCATATTCAACAAAATAAACTCTTCTCTATTAATGAGCAACACCGACTGTTAAAATGGCACGAGTCAGATACACAACTCTAATGATGCCGTACTGTTTAATCGTGTAATTACGATACTTCTACATAAACAACATTTCACGATTATATAATAATAATAATAATTATAATATAGTTTATTAATGTGTCATGTGTACATAATACACCTGGCCATTACTGGCCTAAAAGACACCTAAAATTATACAATCAATAAAATACATAAATAAAATATTATAACTAACAATATCTTCATATGTATACAGCAAACCCCATCCACCCACCACCCCTCCCCTCGCCCCACTCCCCAGACACATGGACATATACTCTCATGTAGGATCAACCTAGTCACCAGTTCACACACCTTAGCACACACACACACACACACACTCCCCCCTCCCCCTAAAAGACACCTAAAATTAAACAATCAATAAAATACATAAATAAAATATTATAACTAACAATATCTTCATATGTATACAGCAAACCCCATCCACCCACCACCCCTCCCCTCGCCCCACTCCCCAGACACATGGACATATACTCTCATGTAGGATCAACCTAGTCACCAGTTCACACACCTAAGCACCCAAACATTCCAATTCTTGATTTTATCAGAGAGAACGTGCATCTGGTCCCGTTCAGCAATAGTCTAGTAACAGCCCGTGGCAGTACCAGTAATAAATCCTTAGGGAGATTCGAACCCGCTTATTCGACGTGAACTTAGGCTTGAACCACTAGACTATCCCGCATATGTTCCCTGATTGTACATTAAGACGCCCTAATCCTGTCATTATCATGCTTAATCCCCCCGGTAGGCTGGACCCTTTAGTCGAGCGGAAATTCTCTAGATTAGTTGACCCCGGGTGACCAATGGCCGCTCTTGTGTTTCCTCCATAGTAATTAGTGGTGTCCGACTTGCATCCGACATCCCCCTCGAACGGAATGAGTGTTTACCATTGCTGTACGCTATCCTGAAAAGAGATCAGCTCCATCGCTACTATCGTATCGCGGGTCTGTTTAGGGAACAATATAGACCAGTAGAACAGGCCCACTGTAGATGTCAGCCACCACACCATTAACATCAGTAAACTACCTCCACATTTCTGTGGGAAACCATGAAAGTATTGCTACATATAAGACAGCTACGCGGTAAATCAGAACGAGCAATGAAGAACGAAGCGTGGTATATTTCACGATAAAACATTGTTCTGTCATGAGGTCTTTTTCTGGATATTTGGATAAGCGCTCGCAACTTGATGACGTCATATTTTGGACGACGTTATTGTTTAGAGCGAGTGAGTATGGTTTTACGCCGCTTTAAGCAATATTCCAACAATATAACGGCAGGGGACACCAGCAATGGGCTTCACACATTGTACCCATATCGGGAATCGAACCCGGGTCTTCGGCGTGACGAGCGAACGCTTTGGTGTCAGCAAATACATTAAGTTGAAGCGGCATTGAGTCCAGTATTTGGAGCTTGTTGTCGATTTGAATTACGGAATCACCGACAATAGCTGTTAAACAAAATATGGCGCTCTAATCAAACAGATTGTTTACTACTTATGTCAGGCACTGAAAGCTTGTGACACTGAAACTTCGTAAGTTAACAGGAGGTGGGCACCCATAATTTAAACTAGCCTTGCAAAAGTTTCGTTCCACATCGCGCATCACTATTATGACGTCATATCGCTCACTGTGCCGCAAAAGATATGACGTCACAGACTGATAAAGGAAAGCGACAAATAGCAAGCTCTATGTTAACCACAAAACTTGAAATTCATTCTCTTTGTAGATTTCTATCGTGTTTTCTGCACGATACGCATTGCCACAC